ATCATCAAAATGCATTGAAAGACATACACCCACGTTTAGCTCCCCCATACATACAACAAATAAAACCGGTAGTGAACACAATAATCACAGTTCAGAACCCCAGTATTACTCCCCATTGAACAACCCAAAAGAACTAAACCCTTCCTTATTCAGATCATCCCCAGATGCAATTCAAGCATCCTCAAAATACAAATTCTAAATGCCACACACAAACGTCCAATCAAGTAACTCCGAAAACCATCGCATCCCTAAATTTGTCCTTTTTTTCTTGCACAAGCAATAAAAAAGAAACAAAAGAAATCAGCACACATCTATCTCCAGTCTTTCTCATTATGTAATATATATATATATAATTGATATAGATAGAGTACCCGAATCTAAATAATAATAATAATAATTAATAGTAATAATTAATACCTTATAAAACAAAAAATCGAAAAAAATTCCACAAACTTTAGAATCAAAGGATACACCAAATCTACCCCATGAATTGGATTCTCGAATACAAACTGAAATCATTACATCAACCACAGGTAAAATCAGAAAACCGTATCGAAAATACCCAAACCGATTAAGGTAACGAAGACCTTGTAAGATGAGAAGGACGATACCTCCTTGAAGCTTACGTGGTTTGGAACAGAGTGGACTGTGCAAAAACCCTTCACTTCTTTCGAATTTTTCTTTTCAATCCAATCAGCAATCCCTCCTCCCCAAACTCACACGTTTTGGGCCGTATTGCCGGCATAGTTATTTTCATAATCTTCACTTCACTTCCTCATTGAGCTAAAAGAACACACACCTGAGAGAAGAGAGAGCTGTGATGGATGGAGATAGAAAGACGGCGCTGCTTAAGTGGCTGCGTACAATCTATGCAATGCTCTTTATTCGTAAAGAAATGCCATGTCTGGAACTGCGCTTTTATATATTTATTATATATCATTCTAACCCTTCTATTTTCATTTAATGCCACTTGGCCTCTACTAATAATAATTACAACACGGTCCGTTAAAATCTGTTAAGAGGGATCTCTTCCTTTCGCAGGCAAACGCATGGTTCTACCAAGTTGATGGTCTTTAGAGAGTTAACATTCAATATTTTCAAAAAATTGATAATTTTACTGCTTTCTTCAGCATTTGTTCACTTGAATAATCTTGAGTAAGAATGATTGAATGGATTTGAGAGATTTAAAAATAATTTTTTTTATTTTTATTTGAGTGGGTTTGAGATAGGTGAAATGGATTTGAAAATAAATTTTTTTAATCTGTACATCAATTAAATAATACACTAATTCTCATAAAATTATTTTCAAATTTATTCACATCTACCTTCAAAGTCACTCAAATAAACAGCAAAAAAAAAAAATTTATTTTAAATTCTCTCAAATTTACTCAACCACCCTCCCTCAAATCCATTTAATGAACAAAGGATAAAAGATTGATAATCTTTTTGAAAGAAAAACACAAAATATTTTCTATAATTAAAATTAATATTTTAATGTAAAGAGTCATACAATGGTGTGCTTAACTTACCTCATGATTTTTATGTCTTCTCAAGCGAAAACTTATCAAACGTTATTAGTATATATAATTATATATATATAAATATTATATATATATATATATATATATATATATATATATATAATGTATTTGTAAATAACAAAAACACTTTGAATTTGTCAAAATTTAATGCTTATAAAAGTCATATTTATCCTTTAATGTAAATTACTTAATTGAAATATAATGAATTTTGATGTAATTATCTTCCTACAATAAAGTATAAACAAACATATTTTAGAAAATAATTTGATAAAAATTAAGCTGTCACAAACAATGTTCTGAAAATCCCTTCAAATAAATAAAAATTTAAAATGAAAAAATTACTTTAAAATATTCTTTTTAGATATTGTAATATCTGAATTATTGCAAATATATTATAATATTATGATTTAAATAATTAATATCTATAGATTAAATTTCAATTAATGATTTTAATAACATAATTTAATATGTAAAATAATAAAATTTTTAATTTATTCAACCAAATATATTAATTAACTAATTAAAAAAATTAAATATATACATGATCAAATTATATATTAAAAGATTATGTATTAAACAAGAAAATTTCTAAATAATCATCAATTTAACAATAAAAAATATATTTAGAAACCAATTTAGAGATCAATTTCATTCCTAATCAAAATTTTGTGTAGTTAATGTTAGTAATCAATTTAGAGACTAATTCATATAAAAATATTTTAGTTACCAATTTAGAGACCAATAAAACTTTTTATTCATAACACCACAACCCACCTTATCCTCACCCGCCCTATAAACCTAATTTTTAATTTATAAATTAGTATTAATTAGTCCCTATAGTCCAACCCTTAATTTTTCAGCCCGTCCCAATAATATCGAGCTCACATTAGTTAAAATTTTCTTGTAAATCTTGTCGGGATTGTCATAAACCCCCACACATGGATTATTATTACTATAATATATCCGAAGCACGACTGCATCGACCCCTATATTAACCCGTCATATATATGTATATATGTATATATATAATTATTAAAGGTTTTTAATCCATTTACTACATCCCTATTTATGTACGAATTTCTCACATTGGGTCCTCGTTTTTTAAAGTGTATCAAAAGGTCCTCAATTTTGAAAATTAATCAATTAAGTCTTTTCCGTTAAGTTGCTGGACGCGTTTAAAAAAAATTGATGAGTGGATGCTGTGATGACGAACGAGCGCTCGTCCAGCAGCGAACCAACGCTCGTGCCAGCATGCGTATACATAATACGCTAGTCCACCAGAGAACGAACGCTCGTCACCTCTACTGTGGACACTGTTACGTTCCACACTGGACGACCGTTCTTGGTGGTCGACGATTATTAATTTTATGGTTTTTTCCGTGTGGATACGAACGGTCTCCATCAGTGGAAGAGGTCTACGAGCGTTCGTTCTCTGTGGACGATCGTTCGTCGTGGTGGACGAGGTTCGTTCGCTGTTGGACGAGCGTGCGTTCGTCATCTCCGCTCCACTCATCAATTTTTTTAACGTCGTCCAGCCAACTTAACGGAAAGGACTCAATTGATATAATTTTCAAAATATTAGGACCATTTTGATACACTTTAGCAAAACGAGGACCCAATTGAAACATTCTACATAAATAGGGATGTCGAAAAGGATTAAACTTCTTTGAAATACGACAATTCTTTGAAAGCAAGTTTCGAATAATAAGAGGAAGACAACTACCAAACGATAGTTCACAAGAAAAAATCTCTTTCCAACACCAAACCCAAAAAAGAAAGAACTTTTGAGTAATGATAAGAAATAAATGAGAATGAATGAGTATTTTATGTGAACTCATATTGTTTTTATGGACTTTTAAATCTTTGATAAAGAAACTAAAGATATAAGATAAAATGAAATAAAATAAAATTAAAAGATTAAAAGATTTATTAATCGATAATTGATTAATTAAAATGTGAATAAAAACTGTATATAAATAGATACAAATAGTATTTAAAATTTAATATTAAGGTACGAAAATATCTATTAAGATAAGATAATATATATTAAGATAAGATAATATATTATATACTAAATAACAAAATTCAAAAGTTTATATTACAACATCTATGATAATAATACAAAAGTATGATAAATATAATTAATGAATAAATGAAAAAAACATTTAAAGAAGTAAGAAAAAAAAGGAGATGAAATTAAGAAAATATAAAATATAAAAATATAAATAAATAAGAACACAAAATACTAAAGTATGTTTTAACTTTTTTTGTTTTAAACAATAAAAAACAATAGTAAAAGGATAATTAAATAAAAATGTTTGTTTGTTTTGTTTTAATATTTTTATTAAGTTTCTTTCTTTTTCAAAGAGATTTTGGTATGAAAGTTCTCTTTATATCAGCACAACCTCACTACTTCTTCAATACCACACTGACTTTAATTCGACAGAACTATTACATTTCGTCATAATGTTGCATGCAGCGTCTTCCGTTTCTTGTCTCTGTATCTACCTACGATGAAAAAAATAGATATATTACTTGTGGAATTGTTAAAATTATTTTAAATAAATATTTTAATGAATATATGTGATAATGGATAGTGACTATTGAATGGGTGTTAATAATTATTATCTAAAGAAAAATTAAAAACTATTATTTATTATTAACGTTTTATTTTGTTTTTTGTAAACTTTGTTATAAAAAAAATAATATTATTTGTTAAAGTTACCTTTTAAAGTAGCTTATAATATATAAAAAAAGGCATATTAATTTTGTTAACAATCACTTATATATATTTCTTTCAATTAAGTATTTTAATATTACGTATTTATTATACTCTTAGCTATATTTTTTTAACGAAATTTAAAATAATGTAAATTATCAATAATTAATAACGACCATATATGTGTATTTATAAAATATCTAATACAAAAAATTATTAAAGGGAAATTGCAATTAAATAGCTTAAGGATAAAAAAAATTATTAGAGGTTAATAATGTTTTAAATAATATTGCTTCTAGTAACGTCTCAAAACACATTACAAGCTAATGAAAAAGTTTGCTTATCGAACACTCTTATTAACATCAAACAAGTTTTTCATTTAGGAAAAAACTAGAAGCTAGCTCAAAACCCTTCTCAAACAAAAATTACATGGATGCCAAAACACAAATAAAGAATTGCATAAACAAGCTTCAATGTGGTCATTCTTTTGAAAAACATAAATTTCATTTTTTTTTCTAATAAAACAACTTTTTGTATACATGAGAAACACAGTTTTATGATTTGTTTCTCTATTTCCTCTTTATCTTTAGGATAAATTACCATATTTCTTAATCCTATGATTTGTTTCCTAACTAATCAGAATTATGGTTAGTGTAAATAAGAATCAATCCTATAAGAATTGTGAATATATCAATACATTATAATAAATCTCAGTTACTATATCAAGTCAGATTTTAACATTAACCAATTTATGATGACTTCTTACGATAGGGCCTTTAAAATGTTAAAGATTACACAAGCTGCAGGCAAAAAACCAAAGGACTGGAAAATGATAAAAAAACACATTTCTTGTTTCTTCAAGAAGGTTCAATATGGGAACATGATCTTCCCCACCAAACATTTTCTGGGAAAAATTCCTAGGCTCAGCCTACCACTCACTCAATACTGTACAATGCTGAATTGCTTGAAGAGAAGTAATGAAGCCTTTGCTTCTCTTCATGCTAGACTGGCCACATAGCTGCATAATTATTTTAGCAGATATTCAGGCCCGTGAAGGTTTCAGAATACCTATTTGACCAGGAAGTTCCATCACAAATTAGGATTTCAACCTTACTGGAGTGGCACTTCTCAGTTCTCCTGGCTTTTAGTTGTATCTATTATCTTCTCCATCTGTAAATTAAGCAGTTCATGCACTCTCTGCTTCAACTACACAACATAAGCAACACAACGCTTATTGATCAACAAGCTCATTCTCTGTTACCTATAAATAGGGAATTCTTAACTGACAGTAACTGCCTTTATCAGAATCCATAGTACAGTTAGATTTCAGTTAAATAATTTCATTGAAATCCATCAAGACACATAATTTTAGTTCAAATACATACATACATACATAGATATATATATATATATATATATATATATATATATATATATATATATATAATAGATGTATATATATATATATATATATATATATATAATGTGATTGAGCATATTTCAAACCCACCCGAGGGAAATGGCTTTGCATCATGCCAAAGAGATTAGCAGTTGCCTCAAAAGGATGCATTATGCACTAAAAAATGGGATGGAGCACAAAGAGTGCCACTATGGCTATCATTAGAAGTTTTCTGTTCATAAAAGAGTGATTTATTAGGGGAAAAAGTGGTTATGATTTGGTAGGCTGAGATTCTGCAAGACTTTCAGCACATCTAGAATAATATCATAAATTGTTTCACAAGTAAAGAATTCCATAAACCAGCTTCAATGTGGTCATTGTTTAGCTAATTCTATGGCGTTATTCTAACATACACCCATCATATAAGAGATTCTAGTCAAAATGTTAAAATAAGAATAGATTTTCCTCACCTCAAGTAGCCCTTCTCGTGTTTTCACAGATACATTAATAGCTCCATCAGGACCTGATTTCCGGTAGTTCTCAAGCTCAGATTGTAAGGGATGCGGCTCATCTGTTGCATAGACCACAGGAGAAGTCTTCAACAGATCACATTTTGACACGACATCAACCCATAAATGCCCAGTGAACCTTTCTCTGAGTTCTTTGTATATTGAAAACTGCATATAACCAACCGTCATAAATTGAATGTAATAGACAAAAGTTATAACCAAAAAGCTTGTCTTTCTGTGTAAAAATTTTCAGATTAATTATACACATAAATTCCCATTTGCCAACAATTACCCAATGGGATGGCAAGGTTTCTCCACTAAACTGAAGTACACAATTACACATAGACAACCATAAGCCAGCAATGTGTCACAATTTGAGAATAATAACATTGTGTTAGGACCAACCTTTTCAACTGTTTAATTTTCTACCCAAATCTAGAGTAAGCACAGTGCTACACAAGCAAGAATGGAAGGAAGTAGCGCTTAATACACAAGGAACAGACCAAGAACAGATGTCCATCAACCCCATACAGTGGCCTCTTTTAGCTTATAATGGCTAGTTTTTTCATTTCCCAACTACCTGAAATGGCTATCTTTTTGTCTATACTGCATGTAAAACCGTCCAAGAAAACAAACACATGTTGAGCTGTGAAAAAAAAAAATTGCACCAATAGTTACCTGGGTAGAAGTAGCTGAACTGAAATAAATATCCAGCTCCCATTCTATATCCCTATCTTATCCCTTTTTCCAGTATATACTTCACATTGTAATCTTAAATACTGTCAGCATGGATGTGTTGGTACTCTTCATCATTTATAGTCCTTTAAGTTTAAAGCCATTAAATAGCTTTAATAAAATTCTTCAAAGATAAGAATTGTAAAATGTTTTTCCTCTCTTGAATTTGGAACCACTTTTAACTAGCGTAAAGATCTTAATAGGTTGGTGATATTTTGCTGCAGTCCAATTTGAATTGATTGTTGTAGCGATCAATTAGTTTTATATGATTGAACCGAGAGCAACAGAATCTCATGTGATGCATCCAAGTTAAGGTTAATGAAACCATTTTTTGTAATGCACAAGAATCCAATAACTTAGACCGTAGCTCATTAACAAAGGAACTTTCTCAAAGAAGGCATAGCACTTAATTTTTTCCCCTTTACAGTAGTATGCATAAATCAAAAAAGGATAGGAGCGGATGACCATAAAGAGAAGCACAGAATATCAAGCATCCTCACTTGAGTCCATCCCAATAGCTTCATCATCTCTAATTTCGTTATTGTTTTATTTCTGACTGCTATAAGATATACCTTTCATAGCTTTCTATGGAAGTAATTACATAATAAATAACCGAAAATTGATAGCCCCACAATACATTAGAATGAAGAATCACTGAAATTGAACACAAACACAAGTCTTTCATTGGCATCTAAATCTTATGGAGCCATAAGTCCAACTTAAGCCTATGTAGACTAAATAACTACATGATTCAACCCTTGAATGAAAATTGTCTTTTTAGCATTTTAAGTTTGAACGCAATGAACCAGATAACTATCTTTATAGCCACTTGAAGAAGATTTATATTTCACACTTATTTTTAGTTTTAATAATTCAGTTGCCAAAGAAGCACACCTGATCGGAAGGTGAGGTCCCACACTCCCCCGAAAGGTCATGGACATACAAAACTGCTGTTGGCAGGTGTGAAAGGACGGCCAGAGTCAACTTTTCCAAATTATTCCTGTCCTCTAAATATCCAAACAAGAGAAACAAATTAAAAGGTGGGAACGATTGTGCTTAACTAAATAAAAAGGAAAACAAAACCAACAGTAAAATTAATTCATAATCACAAACTGTGATTTATTGGAGCTAACTTAGAGGATACAGGAGGTCTAAGATCCTCCAACAACCCATAGTATTATAATATATACCATACCCCTCCTCTTAGGAAAACTGATCCTAAAACCAATGGACTAAAAAAATTCTCCAAGAAAAACTTCGGAAATATAACATTCACCAAATAAGAAAAATCAGGACAACTAGAAAACTGATATAAACAAATGAAATGTTAATTACCATCATGCCTCCTCAGCAGGCCCGGAGTATCTGTAACCTACAGATGTGCAAGGTATAAAATTACAATTGCATGATATGGAGTTCACAATGAGAAAAGAATTCTAAAAACAAAATAAAAATTCACAAATTTGCTAACCTGAAACTTCGTAATGTTAAAAATAATATGACCCATAAGAATTCCTCTTGTTGTGAAGGGATAGTTACAAATCTGAAATTTTAGGTAGAAGCAAAGGAGAAAGGATGAGAAATAGTGTGGATGATGGAATCTATAAATACTCAGCAACTAACAAGTTTTGCTTAAGCTTGAAGCAACATATGTCAAGATTTAATTTAGTTTAGTATCGGTTCACTGTACATATGATTAGTTAGGGAAATTATATATACAAAGTTACCTCACAGTCTAGTAAAAATCATTCCTTCGAGAGCAAGAGAAAGAAAAAGCACAAGTATAACATAAGGCACTCGAACATTTCTGAACCACAAGCACATAATCATTGGGAATGGTCACAGATCAACCAAGTAACAATATAGAAATATTTATCCTTTAGTTACAATTAAAACCAAGGTGGTTGTATCGTGATTGATACCGCATGTATTTTTAATCTTTTAGGCACACCAATAAGGAGGAAATTTAAAGAGACGTACATTTATTGGAAACATGGATAGGATATTTAGTAGGATAAACAATTCCATTCAAGCCCAGATTTTTAAAGAGGCTAATGCAGTTTTAACAAAGAATTATTATAGCATTTAGTTGCATACCTCAGGCTTGCCGGTAGAGAGTACATGGACCAAAGAAGATTTGCCTACATTAGGAGCTCCAACAAGACACAGAGTTGGCATTTCCAAATTGATTACTGGCATTGCTCTGAGAGTCTGTAACATTTATCATTATCAGCTGGATGATATAAACTAAGTTGATGGATTATTATTTGAGAAAACAAAATTAAATTTCACAGGTCACCCAAATTGTGAACCCTGATATGTATGTTTGTAGAAAACACAGTCAAAACCTAAGTATTTCATTTGCTGAAAATGCAGAATACCTTAGCTATGTCTAACAAATCATCAACAACTTTTCTTTCTTGAGCAAAAACCTCTTCAATTTTCTTAAGACCCTGCATAAAATCATGGTGCATACTGAAATCTTCAGAAAAATTGGGAAGCAGATGATTCCTCAAAAGATCTACACCTCACCTCACTCAACCTTTCCTCTGCTTCTCGCTTTGATGAAGACTGTTACAAGATGAAATAAATCAATTATGTTAGCAAAGCAAAGGATAAAAAGAGAAATCACCAATTTAAAAGATGATAACGTAAAGAGACATTGGAACAGTCCATCCGAAAGAATTCAACTCATAAAAGTAACAGGCTGAGGCTGACACGATGGTACAGATAGTGACATAAGTAAACCTCATACTTTAATAATGAAGCAGTGAAGACTGTAAAAATTATATAAAAATCTCTTTTTCTGAAAAAAGTTAAATAGCATAAAATCTTGCCATTGGGGAAGACAAAATTCCATACCTTCAACAAGAACAAATTAGTATTGACATCAAGACCTGGCATAAAATATTCCAAATTTTGCTATTAAGGCTTCCTAAATATCATATAAAATAATACTTTCAAGCAGCATGATGAAAACTACATAATTACCCAGCGAAGAAATAGATCAAGATCAAATGTAAATTACTAAATAAACCTTAGCACAAAGTGAAGCATGTTCCTTTCCAACAGATACTACTCTCTTCCTTAAACCATCTACCTTCTGTAGCACCTGTAAAAAATATTTAAAAACAAATTAGACAAAGTCTAAAATAACAATTTATATGAATGCAGCCATTATCCAAGAATATGTATACATGCAGCATTGGGAATGATAAATAATGATAAGACTATTATATGTCATGTAATAACAAAGGGAATGCACTAGTGGAAGTTATAAAACATGTATAGTACTGCAAGACTGTTTTACTAACATACCATTTCATAGTATCCATCTCCAAGAGTAAGCTCAATCAGAGATCTTTCATAAGGATGAAGATATGTTTTGTTAGGAAAACTCTGCACATAGGTCCTCAAGGGGACAGCAATTTCCTAACAAGAGTTGCGCTATTAACTTATGATACATTCTTTTTCCTATAAAATGGACAGTAGAAACTGGCATACAAATTATAGCTCAAAGCATGACATATTCAGAAGTGAAAAACATACTTTCATCAATGCATCAAGTTGCTTTGCACCCTTGTTTTTCTCCCTTTTCGCAATGTTGGCAATTCCTAAAGTTTAAGCAAACTAAAAGTCAATGTCAACCATAGGGTTTAAGATGTAAACACAAATATCAACCAGGAACCGAAGAACATAATTTCAGCCAAGTACCTTTCGTTGGAGAAACCTTCCTCGCCTTTCTCAATGCGGATCCTAGAATGTCAATTGATGGCATCACTATGGGCAACTTTTGAAATGCCCCAATAGATTCAGTTTTCCTAGATGGCTTCTCCTAATTCAAAAATCCCTTCAAACAGTAAAACTAGCAAATCTTTCTTCCAAATTACCACAAAGACACTATTAAAAGGAATATACACATACATACATAAATATACATAATACTTAAGCAATATGCTCATACTACATAATCACATACCATCGTATTTTTTTCTGTTGGGTGTTGAACAGTAGGATGATAGCTTCCATTGGAAATTTCATATGAATTAGTTTGGATGGCTTTACATAAGTACAACATGGGGTGCATTTTTACATTAGGTGTCCCTGCATTATGTACCCAATAGCAAACAACACTCTTTAAAGTGTATTAACTCAAACTAACCCAACAAAATAACAGATTCAAGTTCATTGCAGCAATAGTTATAGCATGAAATGGTTCGATTAAGATATGAGGGCTGGAACAAATCTAAACAAAATTGAAGGAGTGAAGCGTTACTTACGTTGGCTGTTTGTGAGGAGAAAAAAAGAGGAAGGAAAGACGTGGCCTTTGAGGAAAAGAGAAGAAGGGGCTTTCATGTCTCTGCTTCTTCTCTTGCTGTGGATTCGAACAGAGGAAGCAACGGCTAATGTTACAGAGAAGCTAGCGACCACTTTTATAAAACTCTGAATGACGTTTTTGTTCACCGATAATAGTCTACTTTACATAACATGAAATGTTTTTCTTTTTATTTTATTTTAAAAATTTGTTTGGTCGAATTTTAACATAATTTTTTTTATTCAATGCCAAATGAAGAAAACAATTTATCTAGGACAATGCCCTTAAATGGAGATGGTTAAAATGATTATAGTTAGAGGGTAGTTCAAAAAATAAAAGGGTTGTATATTTCGTAAGGTTTAATATGATTAATTACTATATAAAAAATATAAATATAAAAAAAAAATTGAAAATAATTATTATTTTAATCTTTTATACCATAAATTGCAAATGTTTATTTTTTTAATATAATATACACAATTGTGAATATCCTATTTANGAAACTTCGTAATGTTAAAAATAATATGACCCATAAGAATTCCTCTTGTTGTGAAGGGATAGTTACAAATCTGAAATTTTAGGTAGAAGCAAAGGAGAAAGGATGAGAAATAGTGTGGATGATGGAATCTATAAATACTCAGCAACTAACAAGTTTTGCTTAAGCTTGAAGCAACATATGTCAAGATTTAATTTAGTTTAGTATCGGTTCACTGTACATATGATTAGTTAGGGAAATTATATATACAAAGTTACCTCACAGTCTAGTAAAAATCATTCCTTCGAGAGCAAGAGAAAGAAAAAGCACAAGTATAACATAAGGCACTCGAACATTTCTGAACCACAAGCACATAATCATTGGGAATGGTCACAGATCAACCAAGTAACAATATAGAAATATTTATCCTTTAGTTACAATTAAAACCAAGGTGGTTGTATCGTGATTGATACCGCATGTATTTTTAATCTTTTAGGCACACCAATAAGGAGGAAATTTAAAGAGACGTACATTTATTGGAAACATGGATAGGATATTTAGTAGGATAAACAATTCCATTCAAGCCCAGATTTTTAAAGAGGCTAATGCAGTTTTAACAAAGAATTATTATAGCATTTAGTTGCATACCTCAGGCTTGCCGGTAGAGAGTACATGGACCAAAGAAGATTTGCCTACATTAGGAGCTCCAACAAGACACAGAGTTGGCATTTCCAAATTGATTACTGGCATTGCTCTGAGAGTCTGTAACATTTATCATTATCAGCTGGATGATATAAAATAAGTTGATGGATTATTATTTGAAAAAACAAAATTAAATTTCACAGGTCACCCAAATTGTGAACCCTGATATGTATGTTTGTAGAAAACACAGTCAAAACCTAAGTATTTCATTTGCTGAAAATGCAGAATACCTTAGCTATGTCTAACAAATCATCAACAACTTTTCTTTCTTGAGCAAAAACCTCTTCAATTTTCTTAAGACCCTGCATAAAATCATGGTGCATACTGAAATCTTCAGAAAAATTGGGAAGCAGATGATTCCTCAAAAGATCTACACCTCACCTCACTCAACCTTTCCTCTGCTTCTCGCTTTGATGAAGACTGTTACAAGATGAAATAAATCAATTATGTTAGCAAAGCAAAGGATAAAAAGAGAAATCACCAATTTAAAAGATGATAACGTAAAGAGACATTGGAACAGTCCATCCGAAAGAATTCAACTCATAAAAGTAACAGGCTGAGGCTGACACGATGGTACAGATAGTGACATAAGTAAACCTCATACTTTAATAATGAAGCAGTGAAGACTGTAAAAATTATATAAAAATCTCTTTTTCTGAAAAAAGTTAAATAGCATAAAATCTTGCCATTGGGGAAGACAAAATTACATACCTTCAACAAGAACAAATTAGTATTGACATCAAGACCTGGCATAAAATATTCCAAATTTTGCTATTAAGGCTTCCTAAATATCATATAAAATAATACTTTCAAGCAGCATGATGAAAACTACATAATTACCCAGCGAAGAAATAGATCAAGATCAAATGTAAATTACTAAATAAACCTTAGCACAAAGTGAAGCATGTTCCTTTCCAACAGATACTACTCTCTTCCTTAAACCATCTACCTTCTGTAGCACCTGTAAAAAATATTTAAAAACAAATTAGACAAAGTCTAAAATAACAATTTATATGAATGCAGCCATTATCCAAGAATATGTATACATGCAGCATTGGGAATGATAAATAATGATAAGACTATTATATGTCATGTAATAACAAAGGGAATGCACTAGTGGAAGTTATAAAACATGTATAGTACTGCAAGACTGTTTTACTAACATACCATTTCATAGTATCCATCTCCAAGAGTAAGCTCAATCAGAGATCTTTCATAAGGATGAAGATATGTTTTGTTAGGAAAACTCTGCACATAGGTCCTCAAGGGGACAGCAATTTCCTAACAAGAGTTGCGCTATTAACTTATGATACATTCTTTTTCCTATAAAATGGACAGTAGAAACTGGCATACAAATTATAGCTCAAAGCATGACATATTCAGAAGTGAAAAACATACTTTCATCAATGCATCAAGTTGCTTTGCACCCTTGTTTTTCTCCCTTTTCGCAATGTTGGCAATTCCTAAAGTTTAAGCAAACTAAAAGTCAATGTCAACCATAGGGTTTAAGATGTAAACACAAATATCAACCAGGAACCGAAGAACATAATTTCAGCCAAGTACCTTTCGTTGGAGAAACCTTCCTCGCCTTTCTCAATGCGGATCCTAGAATGTCAATTGATGGCATCACTATGGGCAACTTTTGAAATGCCCCAATAGATTCAGTTTTCCTAGATGGCTTCTCCTAATTCAAAAATCCCTTCAAACAGTAAAACTAGCAAATCTTTCTTCCAAATTACCACAAAGACACTATTAAAAGGAATATACACATACAAACATAAATATACATAATACTTAAGCAATATGCTCATACTACATAATCACATACCATCGTATTTTTTTCTGTTGGGTGTTGAACAGTAGGATGATAGCTTCCATTGGAAATTTCATATGAATTAGTTTGGATGGCTTTACATAAGTACAACATGGGGTGCATTTTTACATTAGGTGTCCCTGCATTATGTACCCAATAGCAAACAACACTCTTTAAAGTGTATTAACTCAAACTAACCCAACAAAATAACAGATTCAAGTTCATTGCAGCAATAGTTATAGCATGAAATGGTTCGATTAAGATATGAGGGCTGGAACAAATCTAAACAAAATTGAAGGAGTGAAGCGTTACTTACGTTGGCTGTTTGTGAGGAGAAAAAAAGAGGAAGGAAAGACGTGGCCTTTGAGGAAAAGAGAAGAAGGGGCTTTCATGTCTCTGCTTCTTCTCTTGCTGTGGATTCGAACAGAGGAAGCAACGGCTAATGTTACAGAGAAGCTAGCGACCACTTTTATAAAACTCTGAATGACGTTTTTGTTCACCGATAATAGTCTACTTTACATAACATGAAATGTTTTTCTTTTTATTTTATTTTAAAAATTTGTTTGGTCGAATTTTAACATAATTTTTTTTATTCAATGCCAAATGAAGAAAACAATTTATCTAGGACAATGCCCTTAAATGGAGATGGTTAAAATGATTATAGTTAGAGGGTAGTTCAAAAAATAAAAGGGTTGTATATTTCGTAAGGTTTAATATGATTAATTACTATATAAAAAATATAAATATAAAAAAAATTGAAAATAATTATTATTTTAATCTTTTATACCATAAATTGCAAATGTTTATTTTTTTAATATAATATACACAATTGTGAATATCCTATTTAGTTATATATATATATATATATATAT